GGCGCTTCTGCGGTTTTGACTGGGCCTGCCTTGGCCGCATCTGCGAGGGAGTTACCGCTTCTACGGTCTCGCACCTGCGGCTGACCAACCGCAGGTGCGGTTATGACAGCAACCTGAAGCTTCAGCTCTTCTCAAATTTTCCAACTTCACTCGAGCCTCGTCCGATTGACGCTCGGGGCTCTTGGGCCCCGCCCGAACATACCGATAAGTTTGAAATCATGAAACGGACTCGCTCGAACCTTCGGAACGCCCGAAACAACGCTAAATCTAATAATCACCCCCTAAAACCAATTGATTCAAACTTATGAACTTCAAGTTATTAATTCACTTCTAACGTGCCGAAACGTGCTTAAACTGCTCGGATTGATACCAAATTTTGCGGGCAAGTCTTAAATGTTATTTTAGACCTGTACCGGGCTCCGGAATCAACATACGAGCCCGATACCAATATGATCAAGCATCATCAATTTCATTAAATCCTTAGAATTTCAGTTTTAACAATTTCTAATAAAAATTCATTACTCGGACTAGGGACCTCAGAATCCGATTCCGAGCATACGCTCAGGTCCCATATTTTCCTACGGACCTTCTGGGACCGTCAAATCACGAGTTCGGGTCCGTTTACTAGAAATGTTGACCAAAGTCAAACTTAGCCTTTTAAGAAAATCTTAAAGAATCAAGTGTGCTTATTTCAACCCAAACTCCTCCAAATCCCGAACCAACCATCTCCGCAGGTCGTAAATTAGTTAAGGCAAGTGCGGGAAGTCTAATTTAGGAGAACAGGGTCCTAAAAAGAGAAATGACCAGTCGGGTCGTTACAGATACGATCAGTCTTATTGATATCATGATCATGATAATAGAGTATTGAGATTTGAGACAACTGTGAATATTGTGAGAATGCAACCTAATCGTGTCTTCTCCACTGATTTTCAAAATTTTATCCATTTTTTACCCAAACTTTTTTTTTCATGTTAATCCAAAAGATAAAAAAACACAAACATGTATTATTTTAGATGTTACTTAAACTACTAATTCTTTGCTGCTGAGAGTTGATTAATACACTAGCAAGTTGCATACATTTTCAGCCATTCAAAAATACAAAAAGATTATGGGTGTTGTTCTTAACTAGGAAAAGCACACTATATGGAACCTTTTAAGGGCTCGTTTGGTACATAAGATAAGAATAATAATTTCGGGATAAAATTTGAGATTAACTCTATCTCAAGTTTGATTTGGAGTATTAACTAATTCCGTAATAACTTTTACACTAATTAGCTTCTATTTTTAGCATCTCATTCTTTTTCATAATGTGTATGCTAGCTTATTTCTATAAGCAATATATAGCATGCGTCTTTATTTTGCAATGGGACGATATCACTATAAAAATAAGTTAATTAAGTCACTTATACAAAGTAATTATTGTTATTTATCTGTATTGCTGTAAATAAATTAAATAATTATCTTTCTGAAAATAGAAACAGAAAGTTAGTAGAAATTAAATTTCGAAAACAGTAAACTTCTTCAAAATAAATTCTGAAAACGGTATAGGAACAAATCGAGCCCACTGAATACACAGTGTGTCCTTAAGGAAATTATTCCCCTCAAGTACCCAAGGTTCTGGAATATATCCTCCCAGGATAGAACGATTTAACTCACCGGAGTGTTGGTACCAAGAACGCCGATGAACAACGAACCACTCGAAGGCTGCAAAACACACTGGAATTTTTGTGCAGAAGAAGAAGAAGATTCAGAAAATTTCGTAAGTAAATATTCTGGGATTTGAAGGTGTATTTATAGCCAATTTCGGTGCTGTTTCTGAAAAGGTTTGCAACCTTTCAGAAACAGCCATGGCTGTTGGAACAAGTGTGACACTGTTTCGAGAACAGCTATGGCTGTTGGAAATTTTGCGGGAAATTTAAAATGGATTTAAAATAATCCGGAAAAGAAAAACGGGCCGGACCGGATCGGGTCGCGGGTCATGGGTTATTCCGGATTGAATTTTCTTTAATTAATTAATTAAATATTTGAAAAGAATTTTTTTCAAAAAGATTAATCAATCGATCTTTTCCAAATCCAAATCCGAATCCGAATCCGAAGCCGAAGCCGAAGCCGAAGCCGAAGCCGAGCCGAGCGAGCGACGACGACGACGGCGCGAGGCTTGCCTTATTCTTAGCTTTTTAAGAGCTAAAAGATGAGCTTCTCTTGATATACACAAAGATTTTCTTTCCTTCTACCAATAAGGGACAAAGTGCACTAGTGAACTCATTCAAAATTTCACTTCCCTCCATTTCTTTTCCCACCATTTCCATTCACACTTCTTTTGTTATTAAACAATAAAATCCAACAATCCCCCACATGAATGGGGAATGGCTATAAACTTAAAGGAATGCACGGACGTGTGTGTGTTTTACATGCAAGAATTAATTGCATCTGGATAAGTAGGTTTCCCTTTAAACTTTTCGTAGTGAACTTATATCGGATATACTCGGTCAATCGGTAGATTTGATATCTTTGAACCGTCGAGCTTTGTTGTATACCTAGACAACATAAGTCACACAATCAATCCTTAACCATCTATGGTTCTCATGGTTGTATTCGTTTCAGCCATGAACACCGCCTGGTTTCATGAGTGCTTTAGAGAATGGGCCTTTACTTTCATTCTCCTTGATGCGGCTTACACTTCACACTCACATAGGTGATTCCTAAACGTGTAATCCTAAAGACACACTATCTGGTCATATCCTGCCAGACTAAGCAAATCATTAAAAAGCTTTAAGCTTTATTGACTCATCAAAAAGCCTTAATGCTTTACCTCGTTTTTGAACATTGTCTTCATCACGAGAATGGGTTGAGTTAGTTGACAATGTTGAACCGTCATTCATAACTTTGTTTGATCTCTTTGAACCTAGCTCTTGGGATCTCCAGTCTGCTAGGTAGAGTTACCGCCATGATGNAGCTTCCCAATCAGCAATATTTCTCCTATGTCCCAGCCAGAAGCATAGTCTAGACCACAGATTCTTTGTGATTGAGCATTCAAAGAATAAGTGGTTGAAGGATTCTAGACTATGCCCACAGAATGCACACCCTGTAGGAACATGTATACCAAATTTCAATAACCTGTCTACTGTTGATAGTCTTTGCTGCGCTGCTAGCCAAATTGTGAACCTATGTCTTGGATGTATACTTGTATGTAGCATTAGACTCTTCCAGTCAACTTTGCAGAATTCGGCAATCAGCTTCAAGTACATTTGTTTGATCTGGAATTTCCCATCCTTGCACATTGCCTGTAATCTGTTTTGCATATTCCCTTGCATTTGCTGGTGCTCCATGATCACATCTCTATTGTCTAGTATCTTCTTCACTACCCAAGATGCTGTCTTGGGAGTATTCATTGTTTCAATGTTTCTATTCTTTATGTAAAAACTGTGCACCCATCGTATCTATAGACAGTCCTTTTTTCTTGTTAAGTCCCATAAGTGCTTTATAATTGCTGCTTTGTTCCACATCTTGATGTCCAGTATGTTGAGACCTCCAGCTGATATTGGCCTGCACACCCTTTCCCAAGCTACTAGAGCCTTTTTTGAAGTGCTTGCACCTCCAGTCCATAGAAATGTTCTGCAGACAGTTTCAGTAGCTTTCATCACCTTCTTTGAAGTAATGAACACCTGAGCCCAATAGGTCTGAATACCAAAAATAACTGCCTTGATCAGTTGACATCTACCAGCATAGGAGAGGAGATTTGCAGACCAGCATGTAATCTTTGCTGTTATCTTCTCAATCAAGGGCAAGTACTGATAGACAGCTAGTTTTTTAGAGTCTAAAGGAATCCCCAGATATTTGAAAGGGAGTTTGCCTTCAGTAAATCCCAAAGCACCAAGGATCTCCTCTCTAGCATCTTGGTTTATTCCAGCCATATATATTGCACTTTTGCTTGCATTTGCTTGTAGCCCAGAAGCAACTGAGAATCTGTTAAAAGCAGCATTTAAAATCTTGATGGATTCAAAGTCAGCCCTACAGTACATTAGCAGGTCATCAGCAAAGCAAACATGTGTGCTGTTTAGCTTCCTGCACTTAGGATGAAAATTAAAGTCACCATTCTTATGCAACTGCCCCAGTTCTCTATTCAAATATTCCATGGCAATAACAAATAGGTAGGGGGACATAGGGTCTCCTTGCCTAATCCCTCTCTTGGCTTTGAAAGGTTTTGTTAAACCACCATTCAAAACCAAGGAGTATGATACAGTTGTAACACAGGTCATTATCCACTGCACAAACTTAGCTGGAAAACCAAGATCAATAAGCATCTGTCTAAGAAAGTTCCATTCCAGAGTATCATAGGCCTTCCTTAAATCCACCTTCAGTACACATCTAGGAGATACTCCTTTTCTGGAATATCCTTTGAATAATTCATGGCTAAGAAGTATATTATCAACTATGCTTCTTCCTTCAATGAAAGCTGACTGAGCCTGCCCAATCAATCCACCAATCACACTTTTCATTCTCCTTGTAATGACTTTAGAGATGATCTTATATATAGTGGTAAAGCATGCAATGGGTCTATAGTATTTGACTGTTGTTGGTACTTTCACTTTAGGGACTAGAGCAATGGCTGTTGTATTTATCATTTGAGGCATTCTATTATTGGAGAAGAAATCCTTAACTACTGCAAATATATCCTCTTTCACTAGTTCCCAGTTCCTGGTGAAGAATTCCACAGGGAATCCATCCACTCCTGGTGCTTTGTCTTTAGGCATCTCCTTAATTGCTTTTGTGATCTCCATTGTAACTTCCTGTATCAATGTTTTTTGTTGTGATATAGTTAAGCAAGATCCTTCCTTTATAATAGTTGTGTTAGCACACGGAATCTCAGTAGCACAGTCTCCCATCAATGACTGGAAGACACTAATGAACTCCTGCTCAACTAATTTGGGCTCATTTAATTTCACACCTGCATCTGTATATATGGAAGTTATGCTATTATGACTGGATCTGATCTTCAACTAGGCATGGAAATACTTTGTGTTAGCATCTCCATATTCAATCCAGCAGGCCTTGGATTTCTGCCTCATTACTTGCTCCTCCACATTGCTCCACTTCTCAATTTCAGCTAGTGTTATTTTCTCTTCATTGAAAAGAGACTGTGATAAAGGGTTCTGCTTGATCTGAGTTTGTATAACATCCAATTTCTCTCTTGCCTGCTCAAGTCTCTGTTTGTATGAAGCCATATACGCATTTACCTCCTTTAGTTGTTCCTTCATGTTCTTTAGTTTACTCCATATCTGCTGCATAGGTGCTCCTTCATAGTGCTGTTTCCATACTTGTTGCATAATGTTCTGAAATTGAGGAAGCTCCATGATGTTTGTGTACAATCTGAATGGTTTTGGGTGCATTAGCTGTTGTCTACCACATTTGATTAGAATAGGGGAATGATCAGACACTGATGGGTTCAAAAAATCAGCTTCTATATGCCCATACTGCTGGATCCACTGGTAGTTTCCCAAAGCCCAGTCAATCTTGCTATACACCCTAGAATCAGAACCTTGCTTATTTGTCCAAGTGTAATGCCACCCTTTAGCACTAAGAAGGGTGAGTTGTAAATCATCAATGACATCCTTAAATCGCTTTATTTCAGCATCAGTGACAGGGGAACCAATTCTATCCTCAGAGCTAAGAACATTATTAAAGTCTCCACTAAGAAGCCAAGCCTCCTGACTTGGTATAGTTAGCCCTCTAAGATCTCTCCATAGATTTTCCCTTTGATTCCCATCATTTTGAGCATATATGATACTAAAATTAGTTTTAAACTGACTGTTAGTATCTTCAATACAACACTGGATGAATTGGTCTGTCATATGGATAATTTGAAGTTGAATATGAGCTTTCCAAAGTAACCAAATTCTCCCATTCACAGCATTTGAATAGTTGCAGCATACATTCCATCCCTTTGCAATCTTTCCTTGAATTTTCTTAGCTTTATGCTCCTTAACTCTGGTTTCTATGCAACCCATAACATCTACTTTATTTGTAGCTAGCAATTTTTTTACCTCTTTCTGCTTATGGGCTTGGTTTAGCCCCCTAACATTCCAAGTTACAATTATCATTGGGATTTGAACATTAGGGGGCCTGGTGGCCCTGGGTCTATCTGTTGTCCTCTTCTTCCTTTATCCATCATATCAGCAATTGCCTTGCCCTTTTCCATATTACCATCCATCACAGTATTGCTGCAGTTTATTTCACTTGGATTTGTTCCATTACTTGTTTGAGGCAAAGTAACATTCTGCTGTGGACTCTCTATGATTTCACTGGCCTTTTCCATGCTATTTCTTCCATGGGTATGCTCCTTTTGCACTGTTAAGTTTTTCTGAGGATTAGGTTCTGTGTTCACTTGAACCTTTTTAACAAGCCATGCTTGCTTAACAGTTTTTCCTTGCTTCTTTGTTCTTTTCCTCAGCATCGCAAATGTCAGTATGAATTAAGTCTAAAGGATTTGAATTCCTTTCAACAGACTTATAAGGATGTTTTACAAACTTAGACCCAACACATATTTGACATTTCAATTTATTACACTCGAATTTAGGCAATACTTCTAAATTAATTAACTTCCGCAAGGTTTTATAATTGACATGTCCTAAACGAATAAGCCATAAATTATTTGACTCCAATAAATAAGAAGAAGCTGAAATTTTATTCATACTGTCAACAACCATTACATTGAGTTTGAAAAGGACCTCCGTGAGGTAGCCTTTTCCAACATACATTTCGTTCTTGCTTACAACAACTTTATCAGAAACAAATACACATTTGAATCCATTCTTTATAAGTAAAGAAGTAGAAACTAAATTCTTCCTAATAGTAGGAACATGAAGAACGTTGTTGAGCGTTAACACCTTGCCAGAAGTCATCTTCAGGAATATCTTCCCATAACCTTCAATCTTGGCTGTTGAATTATTTCCCATGAAAATTTCTTCTTCGGGACCAGCAGTAGAGTAAGTCGCAAATGCTTTTTTGACAGCACAAACATGTCGAGTGGCTCCAGAGTCAATCCACCACTCCTTCGGATTTCTAACTAGGTTGCATTCTGAAAGCATTGCGCAAAGATCATCAATGTCATTATTCTTCTCCACTATGTTGGCTTGTGCTTTCTTATTATCCTTTTTCGGGAGACGACAATCAGGACTTTTGTGACCAATTTTTTCACAATTGTAGCAGCTGCCCTTGAATTTCTTTTTGTTCTGCTCCTTAGTTTGTCCAGTAGACCTCTTCCTCTTCTTACTTTTTGGAGCAGTCTCCTCAACGATATTAGCTCCCATGATCGTTGAATTTCCACGAGACTTCTTCTCGGCTGTTTTATTGTCTTCCTCGATCTTTAGATGTATAACAAGATCTTCCAACTTCATTTTTTTGCGCTTGTGCTTAAGATAGTTCTTGAAATCTCTCCACGAAGGAGGCAATTTTTCAATCATAGCAGCCACTTGAAATGCTTCATTCACGATCATACCTTCAGCAATAAGGTCGTGAAAAAGAAGTTGAAGCTCCTGAACTTGGGTTCCCACAGTTTTACTGTCTATCATTTTATAGTCTAGAAACTTGACAACCACGAACTTCTTCAAGCATGCATCTTCTGTCTTGTACTTCTTCTCAAATGCGTCCCATAATTCTTTCGAAGTATTCGTTGCACTGTACACATTGTATAAGTCATCTTCTAAAGCACTTAAGATATAGCCTTTGCAAAGAAAATCTGCCTGCTTCCACGCCTCAACAACCATGAACTTTTCATTGTCCGGCATGTCCGCAGCCGGCACTGGACGCTCTTCACTAGTGAATTTCTGCATACCAAGTGTGGTAAGCCAGAAGAACACCCTTTACTGCCATCCTTTGAAGTTGGTTTCGGAAAATTTCCCCGGTTTCTCAGCCGGAGGAACAGCAGTACGGCTTGACGAGGCTATCGTCGTTGCACCAACAGTCGCAGAAGGATTTCCATTTTCATTTGCCATTTCTTACTGTCAACAACAGAAGAAATCAATTAATGGCAAAACCAAAACAGAAAATAATACTGTAATCAATAAACAATACGTAATAAAAACAACTAAGGTTTTTATATACTGTTTTACAGAAAAACGATGAAGTTTTTATGTTCTTCAAATCGTTTTCTGAATTTTAATTCCCTGATGAAGTTTTTATATCTTCAAATCAGAATAGTAAAATTCAGGCAGAATGTAATAAATATAATTTCCTTAAGATTGTTATTTATCTGTATTGCTGTAGATAAATTAAATAATAATCTTTCTGAAAACAGAAACAGAAAGTTAGTAGAAATTAATTTCCGAAAACAGTAAACTTCTTCAAAATAAATTCTGAAAACGGTATAGGAACAAATCCAGCCCACTGAATACACAGTGTGTCCTTAAGAAAATTATTCCCCTCAAGTACCCGAGGTTCTGGAATATATCCTCCCAGGATAGAACGATTTAACTCACCGGAGTGTTGGTACCAAGAACGTCGATGAACAGCAAACCACTCGAAGGCTGCAAAACACACTGGAATTTTTGTGCAGCAGAAGAAGAAGATTCAGAAAATTTCGTAAGTAAATATTCTGGGATTTGAAGGTGTATTTATAGCTAATTTCGGTGCTACAGCCATGGCTGTTGGAACAGGTGTGACACTGTTTCAGAACAGCCATGGCTGTTGGAAATTTTGCGGGAAATTTAAAACGGATTTAAAATAATCCGGGAAAGAAAAACGGGCCGGATGCCGAAGCCGAAGCCGAGCGAGCGACGACAACGACAGCGCGAGGCTTGCCTTCTTCTTAGCTCTTTAAGAGTTAAAAGATGAGCTTCTCTTTATATACACAAAGATTTTCTTTCCTTCTACCAATGAGGGACAAAGTGCATTAGTGAACTCATTCAAAATTTCACTTCCCTCCATTTCTTCTTCCACCATTTTCCATTCACACTTCTTTTGTTATTAAACAACAAAATCCAACAATTATATGCAAATTTCTATCATAAACATCAAATATAACCTGGTAAAAATGTGAAGTCGCATGCTACCATAGGTAAAACTACACTAATAGTGTAAAATTTTGTTCACGGTCCGTAGACCGTAAATGTAATTTCAAATCATGAAAAAAGAAAAATAGAAACGATGAATCCAGGCTGCCCATGTTCATTAATTACCATCTCGTTGTCCTTCATGTGCCATAACAAATGGTTGTGTTTAGTTAATTATGTAAGAACTTCCTTTACTTAGCTTGCAAATATGGTCCCTCACATTTCTATACTCCCTTCATTAATTGGGAATATTACTAGTTCAGAGCAGACAAAAAATTTAATGAGTTATTTGGTTTCTAATTAATTTATTTTTGTCGAGTTGGTTTTATTTAGTATTGCATGCAAATTAGCCAATGCACCAATCGATAATTTTCTAGTATTATCCATGTGTACGTAGTGGTTAAAACATGCTTTCGATGTCACATTTAGGGTGCATGGTCATTTCGCCTTTGACAGTTGAACTGAGGTATTTTGGAAACAATTTCTCTATCCAGAGTAGCGGATCTACATGATTATTTGTGGGTACTCAAGCACTCATTATCTTTGAAAACATAGTAGTAAATTTGCATAGATAATTATAAAAATATTTAAATAAATATAGAGTGAGCACTCATAACTAAACTCTTTTTCCTCTTTTTTCAGAATTTTTATCTGTGAGCACTCGCGACTTTAGAATTCTAGATCCGCCACTGTCTCTATCTTCACAAGGTAGGGATAAGGTTTGTGTATACTTTATTCTCTCTAGACCTCACAATATTGAATTACATTGGGTATATTGTTGTTGTAATACCAGTTGATTGCATGTTATTTTTTTCTTGAGAAAAAGATTTTCTTTCTTTCCTGTTCTATTTTTTTGTTCTTTTTGAGAGAAATAGAGAATATTCTATTCGTCGGAAGCCAATTATATTCATTTTACTGTGACAAGATAGATCTAATGGTTGTTTGGTGGGAAGAAATTAAGAACTTGTGAGCAAGCGACATGTGAATGAATAATTTTCCATCGGGAACGAGGAAATAAAACCAATCTGTTCTTTTTATTTGCTTTCTTTAAAGTCATCTCTCTCTTTTTTTTTTCGTGTAAGAAGGAGCACTTTCATTTAATATGTTTTCCTCTTTTCCTATTGTGTGCGCTTTTGAACACATACAAACGGTACTATGGGGATATTTTTTTTTGTAAAAATTGCACGGGGCGCCGTATTTGGTCGCCCCATTTAATTTATACCCATTTTTTTTAAAAGTTGTAACTTATACCCACTTATTAAACAACTTCAGCCCCCTTTCTCCTCCTCCTTCTCCTCCTTCGTTTTCTTCTTCTTCTTCTTCTTTCTTCTGCTGCTATGAAACTTCAGTTCATGGGATGATTGCCATAAATATATTTATCAGATTATTTAAAAATAAATTATAAATAATTACGTAAGTTAGTAGACAATAATTTGTGAATATTTCCATGTACGCAAGTTAGTAGACGATGATAATTCTGTTCTTTTCACGTTTATTGTTTCCAAAATTTATGATTTAGATACTGTTGGCAATTATTTATCTAGTATATTGGAAAGCTTTTTCAAAAGGCAGAATAGCCTGGGAGACACTTGTACTTGTTCCGGTTTGTCATCCCGGTCCCTACACTCATAAAGTTTCATCTAGACACTTCAACTTAATCAAAACAAGACTTTTAAACCCTTCTGACCGTTGACCGGGCTTATGTGGCATTGATATGGCTGCGGTGGACAAAATAAGTGATTTACACGCACATTAGGTGCGTGAGCTGATGATTTTTCTTTATTAAAAAATATAATTAATAAATAAATAAATAAATAAATAAAAAATACTATTCTTCTTCTTCAGCCCCTACCGGGCCCTCGTTCTCTTCCCCCCACACACCCCACCCCACCCACACCCCTACCCCCGTCTTCTTCTTCTTCAACCCCTTCCCCCCTCGTTTTGCCCCCCTCCCTCTT